CGGGGCCGGGATGGCCCCGAGAGCCATGGCTCCGCCCACCAGGAGGAGGCGCCTGCCTGGTTCCGCCCAGGGAAGGGGCTCGGGCCTGGGAAGACCTGTTCTGTTGTGTGCCGCCGGGCGACGTGCATTGATGGGGAAGCTGCTGGAGGAGCAGGGTGGGGGGCGGGTGGGAGGGGAAAGGCAAATGCAGATATATATTGAAGACAATTAATCTAAATATCGCGAGCAGCAGCCTGTGGCACCCATTGGGCGCGGGCAGCAGGGAAGAGAGGGAGCCAGGCATTACCCGCATACTGCTGGGGTCACTTATCTGCCCACAGGCTCCCTGCTCCCCCATTTTTTTTTCTCTCTTTGTTAACAAATGTGTCTGAGTCTTGGATAACACCCCAACCCCGGAAATGTGTGGGAAAAGAAAACAAAAACTTTCCAAATCCAACGGTCCTGTGCAGTTTGTTCGGGTTGGGTGCTGTTGGGACATTGGTCCGAGCTCTGGGCTGGGGTCTGGGTGCAGATTGGAGCCCACGAGAGCTGGTAAGTAGCCCCCAAAGTTTTGGGCTGAGCATGACTTTGGGCACCTTGGGGCAGCTTGTCTTTGTCTCACCCCCATGTCCCAGCGGGCTGGGGAAGGAGACCGCAAACAGGCCCCAGGCTTGTGAGCAATGACTGGTCTCTGGTCCCATTGGCCACGGACCTTAGCTTCTCTGGGGGCTGACAAATCCCGAGACGGGAGCAGTGTTTTGCCCCCTAGTGGCTAAAGAGGGCCTGCCCTTCTGGTGGCTGTGTGTGCAGGGCATTGGCCTTGACATAGCCCTTGGGGGAGGTGATGTTATTCCTGGGTGGGAAGAGCTTCAGTGGCTGGTCCAAGGTCTCAAGGTAACTCAGTGTCTGAGTCCAGATTGGCCCCTAGTTCCGCCTAACTCCGGTCTCTGCCCCTTCTGCATCTCTAGGGTTTGGACCTTGCCCCCTCCTGGCTGACCGTGGGCAGCCCCTGTGGCCGCAGGTGGAAGTAGAGGCAGCACACCTCAGACCAGGTGTTTACTTCTTCATGGGGACACTAAACAGGCTCATGGTCCCAGACATGCTGAGATGGGTCTGGATTTGTTAAGCCTCTCTGTCGAAAGGAGCCGAGACTCTTGAGATGGGGGTTGTATACGAGGAGCCGCGCACCTGGGCACCCTCGGGAGAGCAAGCAGAGTGTGGGTGGGTCTGTGTCTCCCAGGGGGCCACGGTGGGCCGCCACGCCACTGGACACAGGACTCAGCCACGCTTCCGTCACTCAGGTCTCCTCTGCCTTCGGCTTGGTGGGTCTCGCCTCCCCCTCCTGGCTCTGCTTTCTCGTGCTCTTGGCTCACTGTGGCCCTTCACCGCCCTATTCTGCTTCCTGAGCTCCTACCTCGGGCGGCTCTGCTGCTGGCCAGCTCATTCTTGCAGCATCTTCCAGTTCACAAGCCTGGTCTGTGTTTAGGCCTGGACAGCACCGAGGGCCCTTGGGCTCAACTGCCCACAGGAGCCCCACCCAGGGCCGCCTCATCTCCCCCCCTTCCCTCCATCCTGGGACAAAGCTTTTATCGTGGGACCACCCTTCCCACCACGGGTTGTGCCCCAGTGGCCCTTGAGAGTCTTCCCCCCACCCCCAAGTCCTAACATGGGTGGGAGAGCGAGTCTTCCCCCAGCGGCCCCTGAAGGTGGGTTTCCATGGACTTGGCCTCCCCTTGCCCTCCCGAACCAGCCACCAGGAGGGAGGGTTGGGCCCCGCTTGCCTCCTACAGCTGCTCAGTCTTGGAGATCAGCATCACCGAGGCCGCCTCTAACGCTCTGTGGGAGCCCGAGGGGGAGGCCTGACCTGAGGCAGGTTTGTCAGGACATCCTGTTCCTGTGGCTGGTATTGCCCCCAGCTCTTCTGCTGCCTCTCTCTCGGTCCAAGGAATGGAGACTTAGCTCAGGTTCTCCTCCCCCATCACCACTGGCCAGAGAAAGCAGAGAGAGGCAGGCAGGATTTCCTTGGTATCAAGAAGGGAGCATCCTTACTCCAGAAATTCTACAGTGGCCTTGAATAGTCTATCAGAGTAGGGGGCCAGAAAGAGGGAGCGTGCAGGAGCTGGAAGGATGGGCCCCAGTCCGGCTCACTGCCGTGTGCCTGTGGGACTGGGTGTTTTCCTCTCTGCGTAAGGAAGCTAAGAGCCCTGCCACCCAAGGACTTGGTAGTAAGAGGAAAGCTTCCTGGACTCTGCCGCTGACTTACTGTACTTGTCCGTAAGAGACGGTCACCTTGCTCTTAGCTACTTCATCCCGTGCATCTGATACTGACCTTAACACCTGGGCCGGCCCTGGGCTCCTTGGTGTCTGGCTGGGCTGGCAGTGACCCCCAGGAGAGTCCAAACAGCATATGGGGGGGGGGGGGGGGCGGGAATTCCAGGCACGCTGCTCCTTGCCAGCTGGTACTGGCAGGGATGTGTCAGGAGATTCTACCGGGGGAGGGGAATGGGAAAGGAAGGACGGAGTTTGGGGAAGAAGCTTGCAGTGAAGTCTGGCTGCTGCCCTCGACCTTGAAGACCTGCACTGGCCATGAAAGCCCCCAGGGGAGGGAACACAAGCTCTGGGCTCTTCTGGGAGGATGTCCTCCTCCTGGGGGTGGACATGGGGCCTGTGTTGCTGACACTGTCCTCCCTCACACACCCTCCTGGGTGAGCTGCAGGCCTGGCTGGAGGCAGGAGAATGGCCAAAGTGGGTCCTGAGGCATTTTCCTGTGCCTGCTGCCTGAGGCGTCTCCTGCCATGGGGGGGGGGGCGGAGACTGTAGGGGTGGTGGTGGGTTCTTCTTTCCCACACCCACTTCCCTTGGCTCTACCACTGCAGGGTGCCCAGCAGCTTCCGGGGCCAGGAGCAAACTGGCACGGGCATCAAAAGAGCGAGTGTGTCCCAAGTGAAGACCTGCCTTTCGGGTAGTGGCACCTAGCTGATTGTAGGCCTGTGGCTGCTGCCGAGGGAGGCCCCTTCTCCCTTGGTAGGGCGCCCACTCGGCCACAGTGATGACACTCACTCCCTAGCTGCCCCAGAGGGGCAGGGCCCTGGACCTCCCAGCTTCTAGGTCCTGTTGAATTAAGTGAGGAGTGACATGTTGGAATTAGGTAGGCCCTGGGTCCTGGAAGGCTGTGACCACCTGGAAGGACCAGGAGCAAGGCCGTTCTGAATTTGGGCAGAGGGACAGCTCTGACCACTCGGTGAGCTGGAGGACATCGCTGGGGAGAGGAGGGGCCATCTTCCACCAGCCCTGGGGTCTGCCTGCTGGAGGCTTCCGGATACCCTAAGGCCCCAAGAATGCTAAGCAACAGTAAGTAAGGCAGCTGAGGCTCAGCTGGGCAGCAGGCAGACAAGACAGAAGGTCCACGGCAGGCTGGCAAAATCTCACCTTTGGGCATCTTTACAAACATGATCCCCACACCCAGCCCCTTTGTTCTGGGGGTCTTCACTGAGGGGTGGCCACAGGCAGACAGCTAAAGGACACGACCCCCCAGAGGCCCAGGCAGATATGACCAAGCCAGGGAGTGATCCTGTCTCCCGGGGCCAGGGAGCTGCTTCCTGATTTCCCGTTGACCTTACGTGTGTGCCCACGTGTGTACACCTCACTGATGTGTGTGTGTGTATGTCAGTGTAGAGGCGTGCAGCCTTCTGCTGAGGTGCCTGGAAGCAGAGGCACAGGCACAGGTGGACCAGAGACCACCTGAGCACAGGTCTGGGGTGACTCAGTAGATGGGGCAGCTGACGGGGACCCCGCTGGGCAGGAAAGGCCTCCTGCTGCACCCATGAGTGTGTTAGCTGGGGTGGGGGAGCTCGGGGCCCATCCCTTTCCATCTGAGCTCTTGCACTGGGTTTCCCCATAAGTGATGCCAGTGAGGGGGTTTGGGATGGTTTCTAGAGGGAGGCCCTGCTCTCGAGAAGCTCACTGGATGCCCAGACTTTGAGGCCTGAGGCCAGGCTGGGGGTGTTGGGGCCAGAGCTGGCTCTGGAGGCCTTCGGACCTGCGCTTGACTCCTAATCTGCCCCTCCTCGCTGGGTGTCACAGGCCTCCAGGCACAGTTTCTCTGAGCCTTAGATTTCCCGTATGTAAAATGGGGCAACATCTACCACAAAGCGTTCAGGAAAAGATGAAACGAGACGATGCCTTGAGGCGTCCAGCACGGTGCCTGGCCCACAGCAGAGGCTGGAAAAGGCAGCCACTCGGCTGGCACTCAGGACAGGGAAGCTGGCCTGGGTAAGGGCCGTCCCAGGGAGGAAGTCCCCACCCCCTGTGCCGGCAGACCCTGGGGGCTCATCACTGGAGTCGCCGAGGCACAGTCCTTTATTCACTCTCCCGTCTCCCTCGCACCGATGGCCCTCTGGTCTGTGTGGGAGCTGGGGACACGGGGAGGCGGACTACCCCAACCCTCTGGGGACTCACAGGCCGCAGCCGTGGTAAGAATTCTACTGGAGACTTGGGTTGGGCGCTGGGCCCCAGAACAAGGCCATTGCCCTGGGTATGGGAGGCTGAGGCGGGGTATTTGTCAGGTAGGGAAGGGGCAGAAGCATTCCAGGCAGAAGACCTGGCTGCGTGGCTGGAGTAGCGAGGGGGATGGGGAGGGCCTGAGCTGTCTCTCTGGTAAAGTTGAGGGGCGCTTGTGCGGAGCCTTCAGGGTGGCGTGAGAAGCTGGGGAGGTTTTGAGCGTGGCTGACGTCAGCCTGTGAGCTCAGGGCTGGTGAGGGGCGAGGAAGCCTAGGGTCGGGTCGGGCCCCTGCTCCTCTCTCAGCAGCCTTGAGAGAGGGCCGGGTGATGGTGTACCGGGCAGCGTCCTGCCAATCACACCTTCCTTGGCCCCTTCTGTGTTCAGGGCGGCTCCTTAGATAGTGAGAGGCTGGGCTCGGCTGGAGGGGCAGACCCCCAGCCCTCCGGAAACCGAGGCCTTTGCTCTCCTTCCGCAGAGAAGAGCCTCCTCCTGCCATCCCATCGCAGGCTTCCCAGGAGGCCTAAGGTCGTGTGGATTTCAGAACAGGACACCCCTGGGTGCTGTGTGTTGCCTTCTTTACTGCCCTGTTCAGGAGAGGCACGGAGGGGTTATGTCTCGTGGGTGCAAGTCACGCCTGACCCCTGACATGTGTCCGTCCTGAAGACTTAGGAGATACTGCTGCCCTGCTCTCAGGGGCCCAGGACTGAGCTCCCTGAGCACATCGTGGGGGATGGGTGCGCAGTGACAGCCTTGATAGACATCTAGGGGCTTTAGTAGTAGAGTCTGGGGCCCGTGAGGACCTGCAGTACAGCCGTCACACCCTTAGCTCTCCCTCTCACAAAGTCCTACACCCTCCCTTCCCCTTGATCTCTCCCGAGGTGGAGCTGGGGGGTAGCTAGGGCATTTAGGTCTCAAATGGTGGAATGAAGGGTAGGGGACAAAGTCCATACTGTCAGCCGGGAGACCCAGCCCTTGGTCTCCAATCTCCCAAAAATGTGCTGTGTGACTCTGGGCCAGTCCTATCCCTCTCTGGGCCTCTGCTTCTCCCTCGGTCCAGCAGTAGGGGTGGCTGCCAGGCCTGCCCTCTTCTGGGGTTCTCCGGAGGGTGGAGGGGATGGCCCACTCACTGGCTCCACGCATATTGGATAGTGTCGCGCAGTGGCAGGCTCTGGGTCTCGGGCAGCAGCAGTGCAGCCAGGCCGCTCGGCACTGGCGCCGCCCCGTACACCAGCAGGGGTAGGGAGGCACCGTGTACACCCAGCAGCCGGAGCAGAGGCCCCAGGATGGCTCCCCCTCGGGCTGCCGTCTGGCCCAGGCCCACTGCGGTCATCCTGCCCGCACAGATGCACCTATGAGGGGCCGCACTGCCTACCTGTGGCTTTGGCCTCTCACTCTGGCCCGGCCCTACTCAGCCCAGAGAGGCGCAGTGGGTCAGGCTGGGTCGGGATGCACCTGGGCAGCCCTGAGACCACGTGAAAGAGAGATTCAAGGGGGAAGGCCCAGCTCCGCCTCACCTCGATGGTCAGTGCGTCCCGCACTGCCCTCTGCCGTTGACGGCAGCATCCCTCTGTAGCTCCCGCAGGCCCCTCTCCAGCCGGCCCGTAAGGAGGAGCCACCGTGCTGAGCCTGCCGGCCACCTGGGGTGGGGGAGAGGGAGGGAAGCGGGAGGCGGACACTGCCTGTGGTCCCCAGGGTCTGGCCTGCATGAGCCTCACTGCCCCCCCGGCCCTTCTGCCCAGAGGAGTGGCCTCACTGGCAACCGAGGCTCAGGGTGGCTGAGGTCGGAGGGCGGGGGGGCAGCACAGGGCTCCGGGGCTGCGGAAGCCGCGCCCTCTGGCACCCTCCTTCCCCTGCAGGCCACCCTTTCTCCCTCCTCCCTCCTCCCTCTCTTGGGCTGGGGTTGGGGGCCCCTGTTCTTGCTTCTTGCCTCCTTCCCAACCCCCTGGCCCTTCCCTGGCCTCGCCCGGGACCCAGGGCTGGTGGGCCTGCGTGCAGTAAGGACGCCCTCACTGGGTCCAGGACCGCAGTCCTGCAAGCCCACCAGGGTCCCCCACTGTCCAGCCCTCCCCTATGTCACACGGCCCTTCTGTTTATCCCCATGGCCACACCTTCCTGCCTGAGCTGGCCCCTCCTCAGGTGCCCCTCCCTGCAAACAGGTCCACACCCACCAGGGGAGGGGCTCAGGCCTGCAGCAGGGTCCTTGGTCCTGACATCACCAGCCCCGTCCACCTGCACCCATCAGTCACCAGTGCCCCTCACCTCCAGCACCCCCGCAGGCGACCGGCCCACTGCCCTTGCCTCACTTTTGGGCCTTTCGCCCATGCCCGGTGAGCCCATGCCCGGTGACAGTCGCCGCCTCTTGAGTGCCAGCCAGCCTCAGGCATCCCAGTGCCCCCTCCCCGTGGCAGGGCCCAGCCCCTAACACTAACCTGTCTCCCACCCCCTCAACATCAAGCCCAGATCCCCTGCACCATCCAGGCCTCGGAGCCCCCTCGGTGCCCACCACCGCGCACAGGCTCCTGCCTCCAGACTCAGGTCCCCCAGCCAGACACGTTGCCCCCCCGCACCCCGCCCCCAGCAGCAGCCAGGGCGGGGCCGCCTGCTCCACAGCCACCAGGTCCCTGAAATCCTTGGGGGTTTGCAGAGCAGGGGAGAGAGAGGGACTCAAGCGCACATTAGAGGTAGAGTTGGCAAGACCCTGTGAACTGCTGGACTTGGGGTGCAGCAACCATGAGGGAGAGGGAGGTGTCAGGTGTCAGGTACTCCAGTACCTGTGGGGTGGGGGCCCACCATCAACGTTGGGGAGGCCCTGGGAGGAGCAGGGGTAAGGAGATGCTATGTTTGTGATGCCGAGACACTGGTAATGGGGACATCACGCAGGTGGCTGGAGGCCGGGGAGCGGCAGGACAGGGGAGGGGGTTGGGGGCCTGCAGTGTTTGGAGGGAGAGCGGTGGGCACAGGTGAGATCCCCGGAGAGAGAGCATCGGTGCCCTTTTGTGCGGGGGCCGAGTGAGGGGGGCAGAGCGAGGGCGGCAGGGTCATTGGAGTGGGTTTGTGTGTGCAGACGCTTCTCACGAAGAGAAATTGGGTTGGAAGAGAGGCAGAGGAGCTGGCGGGAGCTGAGGGGCCAGGGAGTCCCATCCTCAGATGGGTCCACATCCCCCACTGATGCGTCAAACCCCAAGCGTGGTTTGTGATGCTGTGATGCAAGGGATTTCCTGCGAGCTCCACATGGGCAGTGACCCTGTCCGTGCTGCTCATCGCTGTCACCCCGGCACCAGCCAGTCCCCCCACCCATGGTGGTGCTCAGTGCAATTTGTTGACGTGATGAAGTAGTGGAGTAATGAATACATGTGGGCACGTAGCACCTGTGTGGGCCTGTCTGCCAAGGAAAGAGGGGCTCAGCCCCGCGAGTCAGCCTCAGCATCAGAGAGCCAGGAGGGGTGCCCTGGAATCTGCACCACTGACATTTGCCCTTCACCCTCTCGTTATGGGGGTCAGTCTGCCTTCCCAGAAGGCCGCCTGTCAGGTACGAGCGCCCGTCTCAGAGCCGCTGCATGAGACGTGATTGCCTCCTGCTCTGGCAAGTGACTGCAAGCTAGTTGCTGCAGGCTCCGTATTAAGGCCTTTTCTGCTCCAGGCTGTTGCGCTGGGAGAGGTCTGTGGAGCCAGCCTTCCTCGTAGTGTGGGTGCAGGTGCCCCGTCCTCCACTGGGCCTCTGCCCTGCTCCTTTCTGCGGTGGCTGCAATGGCAAAGCGGCTACCAGGTGCTGGGCCTATATATATGTGATGAGTGAGGCTCAGCCCTACCCTGAAGGGCCATCCATCCATCCATCCAACCATCCACCCACCTATTCATCCAGCCATCCATCCACCCATCCATTCACTCATCTATCTGTCTGCCTGTCTATCTATATATCTATCTCTCCATCCATCCAACAAATATTTACTGTGCACCTACTATGTGCCAGGAGCTTGGTAAGGGCCATGCCGGATTAATTGCAGGTCAGTGCAGACATTTCCTAGCCTCCCATATGTGTCAGCCCTGTGTGGAGGAACCAGGACCCCCTCTGACAATTGGGTTGTGGTCCTTGTCCTCTAGCAATAATGTCAGTATGTAAGGCTGACTGTGGCTGTGTTTTGGGAGTGGTGTGTGTGTGTGTGTGTGTGTGTGTGTGTGTGTGCTGGATCTTTGCATCCCATCCCCCATCTGGCCTAGTGCTGCCATGCCTGGCACGAAGGAGGGGCTCAGAAAACGTGCCTGGAGGCACACTTGCCAAGGCAGGCAATGACCGGAGAGGGGAAAGGGCCGACAGGTGATGGGAAAGAAGGCGGAGGGAGTGGAGACACGTGGGAGGAGCAGGGGAAGAAGCCCTGGGTTGAGTGGGTGAGCTGTGGCTGTACCAGGCTTCTGTGGCTCCCCTCCGGCCTCCTGCACCCCGGCCCTCTGCGCCCTGGGTGGAGGGTAGGCAGTTATCTCCTCCGAGGAGAGGGAAGGGTAGCACCCACCAGGGGTACACAAAGCAGAGGAAGAAGGGGGCAGGGCCCGCCAGCCGCAGCAGTGCCCAGTCGCGCACGCCGTAGGCCACTGCGGCCATCAGGACCTGGCCCAAGCTGAAGCCCAGGGCTTTCAGAGTCATTGCCAAGGCACGGGCTTGCGCCGATGTCCACTCCGTCACTGCAAGGAGCCTCCCCTGCACGGCCCGGGTTGGGGGACCTATGGAGAGTGCCGGTGTTCATCATGACGCCCGCCACGGCGAAGGCCACCAGGAAGCGGAAGAGGCAGTACACGGTGAAGGTGTGGAGGAAAGCGGCTGCCGTGCCCCACATGGCCATCGGAAGGTAGCTCCAGGTCAGCACCAGCCTGAGTCCAAACACGCGGCACACACACAGGGAGGGCGGCCGGGTCCATGGTGTGCCCACCCTACGCTCGCCTGCTGAGCATAGCGGTGCTAAAGTGCCTCTCAGGGCCAGACCCACATTCTGCGTCCGTGGAGGGAGGGCTCGTGGGCAGCGCCCCCGCGGCCCAGGCAGGAGTGAAGGCACTGGGCAGAGGGTGAGCTCCCTGTCAGCAGGGGCAGCCAAGCAGCAGCGGAAGGCAGGCACGTTGCTGAGCAGGTTTTAGCAGTGAACATTTGATGAGGGCAATGACATTTCACAGCCGCAGAGGAGGGTCAGTGAAACCGAGGCCCGGAGAGGGGCTGAGCTTTGCTCAGCGGCACAGTTGGAGGGTGTCAGAGCGAGACCCGGGAGCAGGTATTTCCACTGCAAGTGGAGTTTTCTCCCCAGGCCGGCTGCAAGAGGCCAGTTCAGGGCCAGTCAGGGCCAGGAGTCTGGGAGCACAGGGACAGTGAGGGGAAAGGGGGCCTCACTTGTCAGAGGCTTGGCGGCACACAGCAGCTCCCACCAGGATCCCGTCCAGGTAGATGGACTGGGCCGTGGGCTTCCGGGCCTCGGAGTCACACATCAGGTCCCCCTGGTGGGAGAGGAAGAGGATCTGAGCTCAGGAGGCTGGATAGCCCAGGTGGGAGGGGCGGAGGGCGCAGAGGAGCCAGATGGGAAGGCCCAGGGCACTGGGGCCGGGCGGCCGGCCTGGTGACCTCTGGAGTTGTCACCCCTTGCCTAAACCCCTCCATGGCTCCCTACTGCCCACAGGTCCAGGATCAAGCCCTCTCTGGCCTCATCTGCCTCCTTTGCTTTGGCCCCTCCACAGCAGCCACCCCACGCTGGCACCTCCTCCCCGCTTTCCCGAGGCCACTTCCCTCCCGTTCCACAGAGAGGCCCCTTCTGCTTGCTGGGATGGGCCGCCTCTCCTGCTCTCCCTCATTTGCTGGATGCTGCCTCTGGGAACCCAGCGACTCTCCCCTGAGTCCCCTGAGACTCCTGGGTGGAGAGAGCTGCCCGAGTTGCTGCAGGAGGGCCGCCTGGGTATCAGACCTGCTCTAGTACCACCCGCTCTTCCACAGCCTGGGGAGAGTATCCGTCTGCAGGCTCATTCCTGCCACCAACCCCTGTAGGGCAATGTGGCCGAGGAGGAGCCAGAAGCCACCTGTGAGTGTGGAGGCCAAGGGTGGCGGGTCCCTCCTGGGACTGGGCCATTTTTGAGTCCAGCCAACTGTAATCTGTGACTTTGGCCTCTAAGGTGCTGGGACCAGGGGAGGGTCTTGGGGGAGGCCCTCACCTTGGCCACGATGGTGGAGGTGCTGCGGTCATAGACCCAGCCATCCACGTGTGGCTCCGTGGCAGCCTCGCTCCAGTTGGTGGCTGCAGGAGTTGCCAGGAGCTGCCACTGTGGTTGGCGGAAGCGGAGACACTGGTGGGGCTCGTGGTTGGGGCCCGGTGGGATGGAGACGGCCAGGAGGGCCTCAGGGTCCAGGGCCCTGGGGACACTGGCCTGGGTAGTGCTGTTGTCCAGGAGGGGCGCCCAGCCATGGTGGCTGGGCATGGCGGCCGAGGAATTCTCCAGCATATTCTGAGTGGTGAGCCACATGATGGGGACCACAAGGGCCACCATCTGGAGAACGTGGAACCTGCCCAGGCTGCCCACTCAGTCTGGGAGTTCAGAAAAGGCCATGGAGCCTGCCCGGGGGGCCAGTGGAGGTGCCCACTTCACAGAGGCCGGCCCAGGGCAGAGGGGCTGACGTGAGGGGCCTGCCTCCCCCGTGGCATCTCCTGCTCCGCCAGCCAGGCCACCTGGGGCATGGCAGTGGCGCCCGCTTCGCAGACCTGGCCCGCGGGTATCCGAGCTCCTGCTCAGCTGCCGTCACTCAGGGTGGCTCCAACGGGGACCTGAGTCTGTGAGGTGTGACCCTGAAGCCACCGGCATCTCCCCAGAGATGCAGCTGCCCCTGGATCTCTGGGAGAAGCTGAATTTGGGAAGTGGGGAAAGAGGAGGCTGAAGCCACCCAGGCTGGAGTTACTGTGTCCAGGTGACACTGTGGAAGAGGGGTTAGTAATCATTTCCTTGGTCAGTTTAACCCGGCTCTGAGGGAGGTGCAAATTCAAAGGCACGGCAGCTCCTGCCCCATGTAGGCTGGGAGGCCTTGGCTCTGCCCTGGTTGCCGTGAGGCTGCCGCCGCCCCCAGCATCCCTGCTGCCCCTTGGCCTGGCTCTGCCGGTGCTGAGGGCTGACCCAGGAGAAGCATTGCCCGGGGTCCTCTTAATCTGGGGGCTGGTATGACATCGTGCGCCGTGAGGACTTCTGTGTGTGTGTAGGCTGAGTCACCGGCAGGCATCCAAGCACCACGCATCCCAGCCAGTGTGGCCCCAGCCCTCCACCCACGTCCCCTCACTTGTACGTGTCCACTGTCATTGATGCTGCCCCGCTTTGCGGTCACCCCCTCCTGAGTCCTTCATGGGGCTTTTAGTGTCACCAGACACCCCATGGGTTCCTCAAGTTCAGTGTTTCCCCAAGGTCTCTGCCCCCTCCCCAAATCCACTCCCAAATTCCGTGTCTTGTTTCATGCTTCCTGTTACTCACTTCCCAACCCCTCCAGTGGCCAAGCCCTACTAACTTCTCCTCCCCCACCTCTCTGTCTCCACAGCTGTCCCTTCCCTGGTCTTCCTGCCTCTGTTCCTGTCCCTGCAACCCATCTCCCACACTGCAAAGCCCTCCTGTCAAATCCTGCTTAAAAGCCAGGGGGCACCCCCTCAGCAGCAGCTAGCCAATGTATCCCATGGCCAGGGCGGGGGTGGGGAAGCAATGCATGCTTGGGGGGAGGTCAAGAAAGATTGGACCTGAGCCAAGAGACACCCCCCCCCGTGGTTGCAATAGTTAATTCTCCAGGCTAAAGGGCCAGAGGCCACAAAAGGGCAAAAAATGTGTGTGCATGTATACATGAGTGCATAGATGTGTGTACACACGTGGTGCATGAAATGTGTGTGTGCATGAGTGTATAGATGTATGCGCACATATATGTACATGAGTGTGTTCAAGTGTGTGTGTGACGTGTGGCAGGTAGAGAGTGGGCAATGGAGCAGTGATGGTGACCCAGCCATTTATTCTCATGTGCTTTGGAGCATGAGGCCCACCTATTTTAAGAATATCTCCCCTCCCACTGCTTCCTTTTGTCTTGCCCACTCTTCCCTTGGCCCATTCATGTAGCTCACAGGTACAACCTCCTCGCCTCCCTGGCCTCTGTACCCCAACTCACCACTGCTTCCCACATGCACCCTGTGCTGGCTCGGTGGGCTCCTGGCCTTACTCAGACAGTGCCCCTAGCCTAGAATGCTATCTCCAGGCTCACCCTTGGGCCACATCCTCCATGTACTACAAGAGCCTCCTCCTCCAGGGAGCTCTCCTTGATTATTCCTGCCTCCCCGTGGAGCTCAGAGTGGGCAGTGGAGCCCCCCTCTTCACACTGTCCTGCACCCTTCTGTTATTGTCCAGCTGGCCTCAATTCCATCCAGTTCATGTTAGGCAGGGACCCTTCTTAAGAGCATCTTTGGAACCCAGGTTTGGACAGCAAACAAAGGTTCCATGAAGACGTGCTTCAGCTGTTTTTAAAAACAACTTCTTTTTTCCCCCTGATAATAAAATTAATGTATGTCCCTTCCAAAAAATTCAAAATCAAAACATATTGAAAGGTAAAAAGAAAACAAAGATCTCTCCTAAACTCACCAACCAGTGATCACCACTGGTAACAATTTGGTGTGAATACTTCCAGACTCTATTTTAGTCATTGTATGTTCTGCTTCATAAGCCTGGAATGCAAACTAAGCTTAACATCTCCTTTTGTAAAGTCCAAATGAAAAGCCTCTGCCTTTTACCTAGTGATTCTAGCCTATTCACATTTATTGTGGTTATGGTCATGTTTGGCCTTTTGATGCTTTTTCTTCTTTACCATATTTTCCCTTTAAATCTTTTCCTTGTTCCTATTTTCTGTGGAATCCATTGCTTTTTCTTGTTCTATTTTTCTTCTGTTGTGGTTTGGCAGTGACATATTTTATTTCTGTTAGCCTTATATTTGAACACACAAACTAGGAGCTCTCTTATACCATCTCCTCTCTTCAAACCTCCCACCTCCTCTTCTGTCCTCTCAGTAAATGTCTTTTCTCCTTATTTCACTAAGAAAATAGAAGCCATCAGAAACCAACAGTCTGAGTCTCTCACCGAAGCCAACAGGCCTCGGTGCCCCAACATTCTGCCTTCCATCCTGCCACCGTAAATGCCCTACACGTCCCCTCTCATCGTGGCCAGCTCCTCCCTGTGTGCCCTGCAGCCCACCTCTCCACCTTTTCAAGACTCCCCTTCCTCCTTGGCACCTGATTTTCTCTCCCTACTGGACAATTCCCATCAATGTACAAACATGCTGCTTTTTTCTCCAGTCCTCAAAAAAGCTCCCCTCACTTTCAACCTTGCATCTCTCTTCAGCTGCCACCCTCTTCTTCTGCTTCTATTTACTGTACAGTTCCATAAAAGGCTTGTCGACACCCATCTCCAATCTCTCTTCCCATTGTTTTTTGGATTCATCTTCATCAAGTTTTTGCCCTGTCACCCCATGGTCACCAATGATGTCCCTACAGCGAGTTCAGTGCCACTTTCTATTTTCATCTTACTTGAGCCATCACAGCCTCTGAGATTTCTCTTTTCATAAGACCCTTCTTCCCTGGGCCCCAGGGCTCGCCCGGCTCTCCTCCCCCTCCCCCGCTTCTCAATCTCTTTGACTGATTCCTCCTCTTCTCCCCACACTCTTACCCTTGAGGTCACAAGGCTCAGTACTTGGTCCTCTTCTCAGTCTCTCTCCTCTATCTTTGGGACAATTCACCTCTTCAAAGACCTCTTGTTGGAATGCTAGACTTTAATCCAACCCCCTAAACGTAGGGGTCTGTTGAAATACAGAAGGCCCCAGATGGAGCTGCTCCTGCTGGGGGTGCCATGGCAACAAAGGAAAACTTTGATAACATCCATGCCCCTGTAAGTGCTCCGCTTGACCAGAAATGCAGTGTATGCAGTCAGCCGGTCCCCAGACGACAAGCCAACCCTGGGCTTTATACTTATTGCCTTGTTGCTTCTCATTCCAAACAGGGTTCACTATGTGGTCCCAGCCAATCTGATATTTTCTACTTTTCACATCCTGTTCTTTATTCTTTATTTTATAAAGCTTCCTGCCTTCCCCCTCCCTCATTTTGCAGTTCTCTGAATGGAGATGGTCCACGTCATGAAGTGTTGTGGGGGTTTTTTTTGAAATTTTTATCTAATTCACCATTTAAAAAAATTTTATTGGAGTATAATTGATTTATAGTTAATTTTATAGTTTATTGTTGTGTTAGTTTCAAGTGTACAGCATAGTGATTCAGTTATACAGATACATATACTCATTCTTTTTCAGATTCCTTTTCCCATATAGGTTATTACAGAATATAGAGTAGAGTTCCCTGTGCTATACAATAGGTCCTTGCTGGTTATCTATTTTATATGTAGTAGTGTGTGTATGCTAATCCCAAGCTCCTAATTTATCCCCACCCCTGCCCACCACGTTTCCCCTTTGGTCACCACAAGTTTGTTTTCGAAATCTGTGAGTCTTTTCTGTTTTGTAAATAAGTTCATTTGTATAATTTAAAAAAATTAGATGCCACGTATGCGTGATATCATATATTTTCTTTCTCTGTCTGAATTACTTCACTTAGTATGATAATCTCTAGGTCTATCCGTGAAGTGTTAAATAAACTTTGTATCACCTCAGTTATCTTTAATCACTTTCTAATAGGCCTAACAGACGTCCCACAATTACCGAGGCCAAAGCTGAGCTCCCTGTAAACATGCTTCTCTGTGGCTTTCCTGTCTCAGCGGTTGGGGACTCCATCTTTCCAGCTGCTCAGGAAAAAACCCTGGAGCCATCCCTGTCATACTTCATATGCCATTTGCCAGGATGTCCTGTTGGCTTGACCTTAAAGCCATGCCTGGGCCATGCCCACTCCTCCCCTCCCCATCTGCTACCCCCGTGGCCCAAGCTGCTGCCGTGTTTCCCTGGATCATTGCAAGGGCCTCTTCACTGGCCTCCCTTCCTCCACCTTTGAGCCTCTGCCATCTATTCTCCACATGCACACAGATAGAGGGATTCTGTCTTACTTTGTTAACAAAAAAAATTAATCAATGTCAACCTAAGAAAGAAATGGAAAATTTTATTTGAGCCAAACTGAGGATTATAACCTGGGAGACAGTCTCTGAGAGAGCTCTAGGGACTGTTCTGAAGAGTTTAAGGGGGAGGCCAGTATAGACGTGATTTTGGCAAAGCGGGAACCTGCAATTGAGCACACATCTCAGGAGAAGGTTGCCATTAGTCACGAGGAACGGACATCTTAGTTAATGACCTTAGTGCTTTTCTAAATGTGAGAAGGTGCAAGAATCCTAGTTCATAAAAAATGTCTCCTGAAAATAGCTCATTATCCAAAGGCCCGTTCTGCAAGTTTTCCCAGAGCACAAAGTGCCTCATCTTGATCTTTGCCCTGCATTTTTTTAGGGTTACTGTAGGTCAGAGACTGCGGTGGCAAATGACTGGATTCTTGTGGAACTGGATGGTAGGCAACGTTCTTTATTTCACAATCCCTTCCCTTTGGGACTTAATTTCGACC